GAATAAATCAAATTTATTCTTATAAATACTAATCGATTTTATTAAATGATTATAAAGAATTAATGATTATCTTAAAAATTATATTCAATTGATAAACATTACCTTTTATTGAATAATTATTATCACTTATATTAGCAATGGTTACCAAACTACATATCACAAAATCAAAAATAAAGTTGAAACCATATTCATTTGGCAAAGGAATTAATTTCAAATTAAAAAAATTTTCAATTTTTATACAATAAAAAATAATTTATGATAATATGCATATGCACATTTTATTATTTATAGACAGTATATTGTTATTGCTCCTGGAGTAATACGAGTTTCAAATTCGTGGACTAATACAAGTTTAGAATATTTAGTGAATTCGTCTACTTTTGTGCATCTATACGAGTTATACAAAATGTAAATTTTAAAATGCTTCACAATAATAATCTAACTAATGAAAAATGGAAACATTACATCGAGATTTGAAATAATGTTTTGAAAATATGAACGAATTTCAGAATTTGAAATTTCTATTATTAAATTTATCGCATAAAAAGAAATTAATAAATATTTTTTTAAACGTTTTCAAAATCTTAAATAGAATGAAACTAATCGAAGTATCAGGACTTATATTTAATGGTTTTCAATTATTCTTTTTTTCCAAATCATTCGTATTACAAATTGAATTTATTATTAATGGGTATCGAATGAGTTCATAAGATAAAAAATTTATGTTTAATAAATAATTAAATTAAATCTAACATCTTTAGATATATATATAGAATTTAATAATAGTGATTGAATTAGTTAAAAAAAAAAAAAAACTATACATATGATAATTATTTTTTAAACATTCTGTATTTACAATGTAAATGACATTACAATCTTTTACATTACAATCTAAATAAGCATTCATGTGTTTTGAAACAAAGAACTGAATTTTTTTGTAATTAGAAATATTATTTTAAATTTGAACCTATGCTCTTTCACCAAATAATCTCAATAATTGAAGCAAATATATATATAATTATAAAATAAGTGATTTTTCTTTATAATGAATTATTGAATTATTGTCAGATTTTTATTTGATGTAAAGAAGTGATAAATGCATTATGTTATTGATACATGTAATATAGTATAATTTAATACAACATCATATTTTATTTATATGGAAAAGTAAAATAGTACATTAACTTCTTAATGCATCATTGAAGTAAATGTTGTAGAATTTCACTCCCAGTATATAATAATATATCAAATAAAAAACCTGTAATACAGAAATATGCCAGTATTATATATTATATAGTTTTGAGACGAATTCAAAAATATTATTTTAAGATATACAATGTTTAGAATAAAACGAACGAAATGAATAAATTAAATTTTCAATTTTAATTAATTAAAATTTATGAATAAATTAACACACTTACAATTGTAAATATAATGATTATAAGAATAATAAGAAAATAAGCCAACTAAAATTACTTTACTAATATTAATTAAAAATTTTTTTTAAAGAATATGTAATGTTGTATCATGAAAATATTATTATATTTTAATATTACAGTTGTTACTTTCATATATATATATATATATATATATATCCGCATAAGGCTATAAATTAATTTTAATACATAAGCTCGTGTGATTTTTATTGTAAAGAAAAATAAATTTATAAAATAAAGTATCTAATTATTATAAAATTAAAATTTCTAATATACAAACTTCTAAAAATTTCGTACTCCAATAGAAATATACATATATGTAATTTAATTAACCCTTAAAAAATAAATATAATAGTATTATTGTAAAAAATAAAAATTTATAATAATCTCTCGAAATTCAGTTTATCGTCGTGCTATAGATTTTATTATAATATATTATTATCGTTTGTAAGAATTTCATTTCATTTATCATTTCTTTGATACTGCAAAAAAGTACTGAAAGAATTGATGGAAATCGTCAAGCGTAGACTACTTCAGGACTGCTAGTGACAGGGATTCAAAATTTCGAATTATTAGGCACATACACAACTGACACGGCAAAAATAAAAATATTGCAGTGCCAGCGCTTTCTAAGAGTACGACGAACTACTCAATTTACTTTTCGATGCGTAATTTGGTAATAACCTTCCAACACTTAAAAAATAAAATTCAATTTTAACGAGTTTGAATGGTTCAACACTTAAATTCGGCTATCCTTATTACTGATATTAATTGTAGTTTAGAATAAATAATTAGAAGAAAAAAAACGAATAAATTAATAAAACTACTACATAATATTTTATTATTAAAAAATTCAAAATATTATTCTTATATAATGAAACATAAAAATGATATTATATTTAATGATATTATTGATGTTTATTTTTCTTCGAAATTTAATTTATATTTATATTGAAATATTTGTTGGTAAATCAATAAATCACATTAATATATTATTATTTCATAGTTTTATAATTTTTTTAAATTAAAAGAATTTTTAAAACTTGTATTATTAGGAGTTGATTAATATATATTAAAAAAGTATATATATGTAGAGAGAGAGAGAGAGAGAGAGAGAGAGAATATATGTAATATAATGTAATATATTCAATAAAAAATATACTTATTCGATAAATATTTGTTCCGAATGTGTGTGTAAATATGTGATGATGGATATGTGTAATATGTGCATGGGGTGTGTAAATAATTGAAATATAATATGGCAAATTTTTATAAATTTGTAAATTTTCAATAAAAAATATACTTATTCGATAAATATTTGTTCCGAATGTGTGTGTAAATATGTGATGATGGATATGTGTAATATGTGCATGGGGTGTGTAAATAATTGAAATATAATATGGCAAATTTTTATAAATTTGTAAATTTAACATACTAAATATTTTTTACACATTATCTAATAGCATGAAAATAGATATAAAACTATATGTACATAATTATTAAATATTTAACATTAGATACACACTAAAATGCCAACCCGATTAATGTATTAGTTCAACATGAATTTTGTAGAAAAATAGATATATAAATATTATCTTACTGATTCATTATAGCCGATTTATAAAATAGATTAGTTATACTTATGATTATTGATGGTAATGATTATCATAATACACTGTCAATAAATCTTCATTTTGGAAAAATATTATAAAATACTGTAGTAGTTTTGTGATATAATTTGCTAAGGTATTAAAAAAGAAAACTATTTTATTATTTGAAGAGTAATATTTTAAAACATTTACAGCGTATTGTATAACTTGTTCATTTTGTGAATAAATAATTACAAATGTAAAATGTAATAATGTTTTACTAACAAATTTTCATAAATTATTGAAAAAAAAAAATACTAAAGTAGATGCATATTTGATTATTTTACATCCGAATTAGTTTAAAATTATTTTCCCTTATTGTTACTAAAGCTTGACATCAGTATATTTTTATCAAATATATTGAAATATGCATCATTTAATATTTATATTTCAATGCAAATTCAAAACAAAAACATTAAAATATTGAAGCCCAACTAAAATAACTAAGAAGTCTTATTTATACTCGGTTTTCTGATTTGTTATAAAAATGCACTAATCTTTAAAAATCAATATATTAACAAATATATATTAATGAATTTGGAGATTCATGAAGTATTTTTTAAATGAAAAAATAATCATTAATTTATTCAATTGAAATGTAAAATCAAACCAATAATTTACATAATTAAATACTAATCTTGTTTAAAGAAGCGAATGTCAATAATGACAATATTAATTAATGAAAAGTTACGGCTTGATACGGCGTGCATGTACTAAAATTTGTAAATAAATCGTGAAAAACAGTTTTTACAGATGATTAAATCAATTATTTCTAACATACATATAATAGTTTTTATATTGTACACGAGAACTTTGATTGAATATAAGTAAATTTAATATTACTACCTCTGTTCTATAAATAGTTTTAAAATGAATCAAATTGCAAATACTTGAGTCATTGATGTAGTTAGATGGATAAAAACAAGGATGAAAAATGTTTCGAAAAAGGTACGCTTCGAGCATCTAGCGAAACTTGGTGATGTCGAAGCACATTACTTTTTATTTTTTTACTGCATATATACATTTTACTATTGCCTAATTTATTTTGAAAATTATAAGTAGCAGTAAAATATTTTGTACGTTACTTAGACTTAAGACATTAGTATTTCATTTATAACAATGACTTAAACTATTTATATATATTTTTCAATTTTAACTTGTTTTCTCATGTATTAGAGATTCAAGAATATTGAATAAGGACGTGAAAGTATTAATTTAATATAATATTTTTATATATATTTCGTATACGTACATAAATAAATATTTATACACTGATATCAATTTTTATAATTTTGTTACTTACGAGTGAACTTATATTCATTTCTATTTCATATTTTTTTTTTTTTTTACTAATTATTTTTACATTCAATTAAACCGATAGATAATATTCAAAGTGGAAAAAGCGTTTTGTTAATTAACTAAATTAATAAACTGCTAATTACTAAATATGAAAAATATATGTACAGAATTTCAACGCATGTTTTATGTAAAATGAAAATTTATTATTAATAATTCGATGCGATAAATTTTATAAGCTTACACTTTAAAATAAAAATATAAATTTATTATATCGATAAATGTAATTTAAAAATGAGTAGATACTAATTTGATATTGATATTATTCTATCGAATATATTTTTCGGTATTCACATAATTGAAAAATCCAAAGTAAAATTAAATAAATTGAATAAAAAAAATCATAAGGGATAATTAAGTGCATTAATTAATAATTATAATAATTTAATTTAAAATCCAAATTATTATTGTACATTGGTATTAATTTTTTTAAAGAATTGACAAATGTTGTCTTACCCCTTACTATGAAACCTTAAAAGATAGAAAATATCCAGAAATTATAAATTTCAAATGTTAATATAAATTTTTTTTGCAGGATCTCTCCTTCTTTATTACATAATAGTAAATATATATTCGTAAAAAAATTAAAATGTCATTGCTACCACCAACGCCACAGCAACAGAAACGAATCCACGATGAGTTGCCACCTGATTCAGAAATGAGAAAACGCGATATCTTAGCAATCAAAGAATGGCTTACAAAGCAGCCACATTTGCCAAACCACATGGGTAATTTTAATAATATAATATTTTTATATTCAAAATAAAAAATATGAACATTATGAAGGACATAAGCACTAACAATTTCAATTTTTTTTTTTTGTTTTTTTTTTTTTGTTTTTTATTTTGTTTTGTTTTGTTCTTTAATACCTCAAAGGATAAAATAACCACTTACACATATTGCTGGGTGAACATAAATTAAAAATTGATAATATATCTCATTCATTCTAATGAAATGACAATTCTAATATTAATAGCAATACTAAATTTCTTACACATTCAAATCACGTGGAATTCTTTATTTTAAATATTTTTGCATCTATAAAATTGAATTTAAAAAATTCTTATAAAGATTAGTCTAGAAAAACCAATTAAATTTCTTATCGATCTTTGTGCAGGGAATTTTTAATATTTATAAATCTTCTTAAATTTTGTAAATTTGATCCTTGCTTACCTGATTTAGAGAAGATTTATAAATTGCGTTGAATTTCAAAGAAACTACTTTAAAATACATTTGAAAATAAATTAAATTAAATTAAATTAAAATAATTGTAAAAATATATTTAACATGTATAATAAAAATATTTCATTTGTAAACTATTGTCATTAATTCTGGAATAATTTTTTAATAATTTTTTAGTAATTCATTTCTTTTAAAATAAATCTAAACTGTTTAAAATAAATTATCTTTAGCTTTTTTATTTGTTATATTTATCACTTTATGGTAAAAATACAATTATTAAATGTTGACATTTCTTATTTAATTCAGCCTTATTACTTATTTTTCATAATAAGATTATAAATATGTATGCGGGTAAAAAATTATAATATATTGCTCACGATTGACGAAACTTTGTAACCCTGCTTCTAGATGACAAGAGATTAGAGCATTTTTTATTTGGTTGTAAAAATAGCATAGAGAGATGCAAATTAATTCTCGAAACATACTTCAGCGCACGGACGGCTTTACCTGAATTTTTTTATAATAGAGATCCACTAGCATGTGATATCCAACAAAATTGTGATGTCGTGTAAGTACGCAATACATATTTTCTATTTTTACATTTCATCTTGCAAATACATATGTTGTACGTGAACAAAAATTAAGTAATAGTAGTCAGTCTGTTTATCGAATTAAAGTTTACGTCTATGCATATCAATTAACTGCTTTTATTTGTTCTAGTCAAAGTTTTTATAATGAAAACAAGTATGATAGAAGAAAAATAATTATAAGATACATAAAAATTTACTATATTATTGAACAAATAATTGTAAATAAAAATTAAATACATTTTTTTTAAATTGTAGTAACGATGTATGTTATTTTGATGGTATTTTTCAAATTATATGCTATACGTTATATTACACATTATATAGATTTATTATATTTCGCAATATTTTTTCGATAATTAACATATTACTTTAATTTCAAATGTTAAATAAATGTATTAATTAAGATATAATCTTAATCTGTATGTCTCAACTATTTATTTAGATATGTTTTATTGTAAATCAATTTTAATAATATACGCAGAGTTTCTCGTTTGAAAAGTTACGGAACATAAAATTCAATTACTAAACAATACCTTTCTGATAAGTTTAATTAGTAATTTAAGAAATTTATACTTCATCAGTATTCGACATATTTATGAAGAAATTATTTCAATTATTAAAAGATTAAATTAAGCTTTCTTACTACTCTTTACTACTTAAAAATGTTTAATTATTTAACTTTTTTTATTACATATATATGTATGTATTATAAATATTTGAAAGAGAAATTACTTTTTTTTTTTTTCATTAATTTAGTGAAAGAAAGTTACTTTGCGCTTGATAATTTATGTTTTTATTATCCTAACGTTAACATTTTTAGCTTAAAATCTTATTGATATTTAAAATTACTCAAATGAAATAATCGATCTTTAACTAAAATACGAAATTATATGAAATATATACATATCACCAACATGTTCTCTTAATATTTATAAATACCAATCAAATATCAACATCACATTACGTTTCATTAAATTTTATAAAGATTTACGTAACGTTTGTTTTACCATCGTTGTTTTGTTCATACAATAAAGTTTTTGTTTTTGTTTTTGTTTTTGTTTTTCTTCTTTTTTTTTTAAACGTCGCTTACTATTTCAAAATTTAAATAAAAAAAAATGGCCAAAGTTAAAAAAAAAATTTAATACTTACATAACTAACAAAACCATTAAAATAAATTTAAAAATAGAATAAATGTGTATTATATAAACGATAATTTTCAATATATTGATTAAGTTTAATATAAAGCAATGAACTACAAAAGCTTATTACCATTAATGCAGGCAATATTTCGTATTACCAAAATTGACTGAAGAAGGATATAGAGTAACGATATTTCGACTAAAAGAAACGATGCTCGAAAGATTCTCCTTAACTGCTATAACAAGACGAATTCTTATGGTATTGGACATTCGCCTACGAGAAGAAGCATCTTTAACAAATATTATGATCTTTGATCTCAAGGTAATCGAGCTCAAAATATTTACAGTATTTTAATTATACATCAACATAAATTAAATAAGTAATAATAATTAATAGGGCACAATTATCATATTAATGACTAATTTTGAAGTGCCATGGCTCATCTTTTTAATAAAATATTTTATAAAGTAAACTTTAACTCTAGATTACGCAGATTTAATTATAACGAAACACATAGCTGACAGCTTTATGATACAGACTTTATAAATCATGAATTTTTAATCTAAAAAAGCTTGTGATAATTTTATCAAATGAAAGCGATTGACTTATCTAAAGTAAATGTAAATTAGAAACATTTTAAAATGTCATAATTTCGCGTAAACTTTCGGTAAAAAAAAAAAAGTACTTTACTAAATTATGCTGAAAATACGTAAAACTCCCGAATGAAAATCCCGTGGAGTGTTGTTTTCAATTGACCTCTAAGGCATAGGTTGAAGGTAAGGTTACCGTACATAACTTACAATTATTTACCTGCTTTGCACTTATTGTCACGCACTTAATCTAAGGTCCAGGATAAAATGGGGTTTTCTCCGGGGTTTCCCCCAAAAAGGTATCCTCTTCATCCTAAGTACTACGTATTTATTATATTTATATAGACATTTATTTTATTTTAATATTCAGAACCACTAAAATAGAAACACACGTTTTATATTATTAAAAGTTATATAACGTAAAATATCAATCTTAATAACCAAGTTTAAAATATGTCTTTAGGATGATGAATGTTTAATAAATTACAAACAAATATTAGTCGTTAGCTTTCAATGTATTTTAAATATATTCTTATTATGAAGCAGACAAAGTATTGATCATTATAAGTTTGATATACTCATTTTTATTTAAATAAATACCAGTACAGCTGTTAAAGCTAATTTAATGATTAGATAGTAATTATTTAAATTATCAATGTTACCGTTATAGCATTTGTACTTACAGAATTTTTAGCTAAGTTCTAAAGTTCTAAGCTAAAACAAGAATGAATTTATGCTTTTTGTAGTTCCCTTTTCATTAACTATGATGTTACTTTTTTTTTTTTGCAAAATATTATTACTATAGTTTCCTTAAAAAAATAATAACTTTTGTACTTACTATTATAATGAAATAGTAGTATATATGTACATATATATGGCTTGCATAAGGTCTACTATAATCAATAATTCTATAATTTACTTGTAATAACATTGTAATAATCTTTTATTTTACGTAGAATTACAGGAGTATGAATTAATCATTTATATAACAATTATTGGGAATATTTAAAAAAAAATTAATATATTACATAGCATTCCAATACAAAATTACAAGCCTTTTGTGCGGCAAAAAATTAATATAAATGTATTACTTTATAATAATTACTTTTCAGAATAAGAGATAATTAGTAAAATTGAACATTTAAATCTTCAATTTGCAATCGTATAAATTAGTTGGTTAAACTTGATAGATATAAGCATTTTTTTTTAATACTGTTGAATATATTTACATATATGATGATAAAAAGAAATTATGTATTAATATTGGCAAAATTGTATTATATTTACACAGATTTTAGATATAATACTTATTTCAAAAGTATTAAGTAACATTTAAAATTTTTATGTTTTGCTATTCGATATATTTTTTGCCTCGAAACAAGAACAGTACAATAGTAAATTTATATAATCATCTAAAGATGTTAAGAATTTTATTATTTTTCATCGTCATAAAAATTATTATTTATCATATACAATAAAAACAAATGTCATGTCTTATATGATCTATATATACATATATTTATTTTTAATTCCAACATATTATGTTTTCGTTGTGTTCCTTATCAAAAACAACATGTTAGACTGTCGCGCTTTAATTATTTGTTTTTAAATATTTTACATCTTTGTTTGTGATTAACGAAATTATTGGAAATTTTTCATAATTTTGGATGATCTTGTTGATTCATTTTTAAAATGCAGTTTATAAAGATTTTTGTGCCCCTTAGTGCTAATGCCATCTATTGGCATTTCATTGAAATTGGTCTTTAAACATATCAACAGAGCAAATGTACTTATTTAACTTTTAATTATTTTAAACAATCACATAATTCTATAAAATAATTTTATAATGTTAAATATTAAATGTTAAGTATGAAAGTCAATATATTAATTAATGTTTTTGTTTTTTTTTAATGAAATTATACATAAATGTTATTATAAAAGAAAAATCAATTATAATTCTTGTACTGCAATATGAAATTATCTCCGCATCAATAATATTTTTTAAATATAAAAATAATAATTGATTGGCGTGTAAACGATTTTATTAAAAATATTGCTCATACTTACATTTATATTTCTACATTATATCTTAAATATTTTATACTTTGCTAGATTAATACTAAGCATATTGATATAGATAAATATAGATAAATACTTATTCAATGGATTAATCGTTAAGCAGTTTTTTTTTTTATAATTTAAATGTAAATGTTATAAAATCATAGAAAATACGGCAGATTAAGTTATAAATAGTACATTTAATAAATTCATTTCACAATTATGCATATAATTTATCTACTTACCAAATACAATCTATTTTTCTTTTCTTCGTGAAAAATATTTCTCTCCAGTTGTAAAAAAAAAAAAAGACAGTTACAATATATCCCGAATTTAACAATACAAAAAGGAAAAATAATAGATTGATCGCCCATTTAAAGTGACCGATAACTGAGATCTTTTAATCCCCAAACCAATGTTCTGACTTGAAGCTCGCAACAATATTGTAACTTTGCAATTAACTAATGTGAGACTTCTGTCATTGTTTCCTTCAGGGTTTTTGCGCCGGACACTTTACTAAATGCAGTCCAACACGATCTATCGTGAGAAAAGCAATGCTCGCCACCCAAAACAGCATGCCGTTTAGATTGCATAGGATTCATTACCTTAATGCACCGTCTTTCATTAGTAACGTTTTAAATATTTTTTATCCCCTGCTGAAGGAAAAACTCATCGAAAAGGTATCGTTTCGTTATTGTAATACATAATTAAAATTAAAATTAAATAGTATCGGAACATGTGAACTCGCAGAAAATTTTGAATTCTATTTCCATTTTTTAACGTGTTCTATAATTACACTATCTTATAAGAATATTATTTTTAGTTCCGCATACATACCGGTGGTTTTGAAGAACTATATCCTTACCTGGATAAAAGGATTTTACCAAATGAATGGGGTGGAGAAGCTGGAACTTTAAACGAATTAAATGGTAAATTACTTTTATTATGATTTGATCTTTATCAATTTTGTTTATATAAATAATAATTAACAAGTGAGTTTAGATAATAATTATAAATAATTTATCATTATCCGTTAACAATTTATTAAAATGTCTTGTTATAGCATCAGTCGAGTATGTGCATTCTTAATAATAAAAATATGCAAAATATATTTTTAAAAATACAAAAATTCCTTCTCACATCCAAAATATTTAAAAATCATTAGAATATTATGATTTATTTAGGTTTGTGTTTTTTAATACAGATTTATTAGAAAATATTTACCCATTAAATAAAAAGAGCAACAGGTAATTTAAAATTTATAAAAAAATAAAAAAACAAAAAAAAAAAAAAGAATAAAAAACAGAAAAAATAATCACATACCTGATTTGGAACTATTATTCTTTAGTATTTACTATGAATTTTATTATAATTATCTATATTACGTTAACTGATAATAAAACGTATTTATATATATTATAAAATACGAAGAAAGAAGAAATTTTTATAAATGACATTGTTAATTGATACACTCAATTTGCACTGAATATATTTTTCCAACTGGCAATGATGATTTGATTTCTATTCACAACTATTATGAATCAAAAACATACTTTCATAATCTTGATATCCATAAAAATATCATTAAACGGTCAATTAGGTTGTTTTAAAATAAATTTACTTAACTAATGTAATACAAAATTGTATCAGTAAAATTCATAATTTTAAATTCTCATTAAAAATTTGTCTTTTAGATGCATGGCGCTTGAAAATCGAGAAGCATCGGGACTGGTTTCTACGTGAAGAGAAACTAAGTAAAACAGATGAAAATGCTCGATTACCATGTAATAAATCATTAATAGAGAAGCATCTTGAAGGAGTCCAGGGATCCTTCCGCAAGTTAAATATTGACTAGTCTTTTTCTAGTTACCTTTCTCCTCTTTATTGTTACTTATGATAAATCAATGTATGTAAATTGATAATTTTAATCACTAACATAATATTTGTATTAAAGGCATTTAAAATTTTTAGAACTTAAATAACATCTTCGATAACTATTACATACGTACGATTATTATTATTTTCTATGCTTATGCTTTTCATTACTAAATTAAATTACAATTATTATTCGATTATTTTGAAGTAATAAATAAGACTTTTTTTTTTTTTTTTAATGAGCAATTGTGTTATCCTATTCAAATATTTACTAAATTAAATTAGACAGTGAAAATGACACTTATCATTTAAGACTTGATGTATTTATTAATCCAATAACAATAAATTTACAACGTTTATTTTGAATGCTAGTGGTTGACGTTAAATTTGCATTAATTGGTATATATTTTTATTAAATTAAATAACATAGCACGTTATTTATTAAAAATGACTGATTAAATTACTTCTTGTAAATTATATTTTTGTACTCCTATTTTTGTTATATATCATGACTATACGTTTAGATTATAATTTTAGTGTATTTATAATTTAGTGACTTATCAAAGTTTCTTATTTTGACTACATTTTTGCAAATAAAATATTTGTAATTATTAATAAAAAAAATGACAGTCTTTAATATTTATATATAAATATGAGGCTTAAATGATTATTTTATAAATAAAACTATTAATATTAATAAAATACATAAAATTTACGATGCATTTATGAACACTTGCGCTTTAAACGAGCGTCAATATAGAGATTAATTTTTTTTTTTTTTTATTTGAATTTAACTATGTGATTGTTATTTATTAATATTTGTTAATATAATTAAAAGGTAATATTGGGTTAGGAATAGAAATAACAAGTTCGCGTTTCAAATTATTTTTATATTTCATATAATCATATATATAGAATTAACTATTTATATTCTTTATTACACGATAAATAATAATAATCGAAATGTATTTATAAACGAATAAGAATATTGCGAAAAAATGGAATTTGTTTACTTTTCCTCATTTAGATCTAAATGTTTATTCACTTTCTTATTTTAGCCATTTTCATTAATCAAGATCTGTTGCATAATATTAAAATACATATTTGTATACGAAAAAAATCAAGCTTAATTAAGTACGATATTTACAAAAGTAATCTCATACAAAATATGAAAAACATAAATACTTCTAACTATTAATAAAATATTCAATTGTAAAGTAAATACATGATCATGTATATATATATTTTTTTTTAATAATAGTAATTTTATCAATATAACTATCGATTTTAGTATAAAGTTATAAGTATTATTTCTAATATTAGCTTATGTTATTTTAATCCTTAGGTATAATTTCAATATTTCATTCCTTTGATATTTTTATCATTGCGTTGCTAAATATATTAACCAACATTATTATTCAAAATTTTAAAATTAATCGCGTTTATAATTAGTAGTATTAAAATTATAGTTTATATATTTATGGATTATACATCTATTTATGTATTTCATACTTTATATTTGTCTTTTTTATCGAGTGGGGAAAAAAAACAATTTATTATTTAATGTCTAAATATGACTAAATATAAAAAATACTTTAACAATATTTAGTCTAAAAATGTATTTCGATCGTTTTTTTTTTTTTTTTAATATTTAAGTAGAATTTTCATAATTGTTGCATATTACATTTAATATATTTGCATTAAAAAAAGTTTTCACTTTCAATATATGTATATACTCTCTATAAACGTTTACTTACTAATTAAATACGACCGGCATTTCATATATCTATTTATCCACTTATAATTTTGCATTAATTAAAAAATCTCGTTTTATTATATTACATACTTTGTTACATTAACCATTACATAAAAATATATGTTTTATTAACGAAATTTAAACGAACACAGCAATGCGTGCCAATAACTTTTTTCTTCAAGTAACGAGCCATATTTCCAATCGTAATTCAAAAAAAAAAAATATATATATATATAACCGATTAGATTTAAAATAATGTTTCGAAAAAGTTTTATTATTTCAAGATATTGTTGAAAAAATGATTTAGTTGAACCATCCTTGAAAAATTATTAGGAATCATATTATCTTTCGACACCTGAATAAATACACGAGCAGTGACTAACATTTAATTGAAATTTTATATATGTTTCAAATAAAAAGTGACAATTAATAAAAATAAAATCCCATGTTTTAGAAGCTATCTTGTTATTTATTTTGTATAGAACAATTTTCCATAAGAGAGCGTAAGAAATAGAAACATATATAATAGCCTAATCGTATGAAAATGAATAGTTATATATATTCTGTAACAACGTGAATTAAGTTTCTGTCAATGCCTATTTATTATTTATATTATGATATAACATTGTCTTATATGTTATTTTTGATTAATGATAAAAATTTGAAATAGTTAATATAATTAATTGCTCACTGATAAGAATTTTACGCTCTATGAAACATAATTTATTCAACTTTTAGTAGACCAAAAGGAACTGATGTTTCTATTTAATCAATAATTAAGAAATACTTTTACATTTCTAATAATGGTATTTTAATTAAAATAAATATTTTGAAGTTTATTTAAGTTTATTTATAATATTCGTTATATTTAGATTAATATACTCTCTGCATTATGTACATGCACGTATTCTTTAATTATATGAACACTTTTTAAAAAGCTAATGTATAAAAAACAATTTGCACCGTTTTATTTTAATTCCTTTTTAAATTAAAAATTAATATTTTTTCATAAAATATTAATAAAAGTATTTCATCTAAAATAGATAATTTCAAATGTAGAATATAACATTTTATGTATTACACATAAATATATATATATATATATATATATATATATATATATATATATTATTTTAAATATATTTTTTCGATTGTTATTTTAATTTGTTTTTTTCAAACATAAAAGTTTCAGTAAATTATTAAGAAAACTATTAAAAAATTTATAATTTATTTCAATCATATGAACACGATAATAAAGAAGTGTTGTTTCATTTTCTCAAAATAATTAAAAATCACAAAATATTATGTTGTAATATAATTCATTTATACAAATATGCAATGCATTATAAATTTTCTTAGGCATAAGTGAGATTAATAAATAATAAAGAGAATGAACCGAAAAAATTGTTATATACTCTTTGATTCTGTTCTTTCAAATTCTATCATTATTAAATTAGCTTTGATTAATTTGAGATTAGAAATACTATTTACAATGTAGTAAAAACCTTAATTATTTAACAATATTCATCACTTACAAAAATACACATAGAAAACATGAAGAGAAAGAGAGAGAGAGAGAGAGAGAGAGAGAGAGAGAGACAGACAGACAGACAGACAGACATCCTTGCAAAAGTTACTTAATTTAATTTATTCTGGAGGTACCAATAAATTTATTGCATTTTTTGGAACACTTTGGTTCCTCATTATCAGAAAATTGAGCAAACAACATGTGTACATTATAACTCACGCATTTATAATAAACGCGTTAGCTTTAAATAGAAGTAGATTTTCTTGTTTGAATTTAGTTGCCACTATCTTTGAGTTGAAGAACAATATGAAACGAATGTTAACTACAGCTTCAATCAAGATGATTTCATGTAAGTTTTAAATTTCACTATATAAATTATTCCAAGTCACGGATATATATATTTTGTGTTGCGTGTGTGCGTGTGCGTGTGTGTGCGTGCGTGCGTGCGTGTGTGTGCGTGCACACGCATGTGTGTGGTACGTCTACGTGTGTTTGCCCCTTGGGTGGCGGGTACATATATATATATATATATATGTATATATAAATTACAAAGTTTAAAAAAAAAAAAAAATACATATTATTTATTAATTCTTAATCAAATATATTTATTCATATTTATATTTTCTTTATATTTTTCATGAATAATACTTTGATTCTATTATGAAGTAATTTTCGTAAGAAAGAATTTTAATTTTTAACAGTTTGTTTTATTTATTTTATACTTATTATAATTCTCGTCTTTTCAATCAAAGCAAAAAAAAAAAATAGTAATAAAATGAAATGCTTTAAATTTTATTTAAAAATATAAAAGTTAGAATATATAACTAATATTTATCCTCGTTTTCTAAACAACTATAATATCTTTTTATCAATATGTAACAATAGAAGAAAGTATATATTTATACATTCACAAAATCAATTTTTCTTATCTACAGATAAATGTTTTAACTGTTACATGTAATAATGCAAATAATAATATGTAATAATAATTAATATGTACTGGTAATGTAAATAGTAACAATAAAATTATTCTAAGCTACAAAAACAAACTGTGTTATTATTATTATATAATTTCTACAGTTAACGAGTAATATTTTATCAAATACATATGATACATAAATGATATGTTATTTCATAAATTTATAAAATATATTTAAATCGTAAGATAATATAATGCGTTATTGACAAAATAAAATTGATTCCGATAAAAAAACTAATAGATTAAATCAATAAATTTTAAAATTCAAAATTTATATAAATTATTGTTAATAGTTAATAATCAATGTAAATATACTGGCATAAGTATAAAAAGGAACTAAAAACTTATTTGCTTAGAATAAAATATAAAATTCAATTCGTGTAAAGAAAATTATAATTAAAAATAATTACATTTACATAGTTATATATTCTATGTATATATTTCTTCATATACCGTAATAAATTAATTTTTTTTTTTAACGTAAATTATTAGAGAATACTAAATTTTTTTTTATTTTACCATACGAAATTATCTATTTATTAAATATTAATATATTATTATTATAATTCATAATACACATAATACGTAAAAATAGAATGTTGAGACTTTTTTCCCCAATATAGCTTTATAAATGTCTAAAGATATTATGTATTGTATTTAAAATTATTATGATAAAAAAATCAACAATGTAATAATTATGATAATAATTATAATTAAACAATTAATGTTGAATAAATATGGTATTATTTTTTATAGCTGCGGTCATCTTTCTTATTATATTTCATATGGTTCATATAAAAGCTGATGACATAAACGAGGAACTTCAACTATTGTCTAGAACTGACGCATACTCCATAAATTTATTTAAAGTAAGTTGTAAATTGTTTTTGTTCTTTTAGTATTTTATCTCCAATACGTTTATAAACCGTAGTTTAAATTATGATTTTAATAATAAGCTTATTAACAAATATATTGCTGTTACCTTTTTTAATATTCTTAAATATGTAACTTCAATTCGTGAACAGAATAAATATTTTTTTAGTTGAAATTTTATCAATGTAAGTTTAGAGAATTATTAATTTTTATTTCAAAATATATTAATACTATATATAGAAAAGTATATAGATTAATAATTATTTGAATGTTATGAAAAATTATTCTTATCTCATACCTTAATCAAATTAAGAAATGATTTAACTTAGCTGAAAAATTCTTCTCTATGAATGCATGAAAAATAAAAGGAATATTTATCTAATTAATCTATTATTATAAGAATCTGCAGTAAATAAAGCATTAACTTTATTATTGAAACAAAAATTTATTAGATATAGAATTTGTTAAAATTGTTTACATATATTACGTAAATTTCTCATTTATTATACATTCATTATATTGGTATTTTAACTTTCATGGCTTTTACAAATATTCTCATCTGAATGTTACAGAATATTGCAGGTACTAACTTTACAGAAAATGTTCTCGTCTCGCCTATAATTGCTTTCGAAGCTGTAGTTATGTATGGAACCTCGGAAAAAAAGAATAAATATGCATACATGGACACCGCCCAATCTAGTAATAACAATATCGATCAACAAAGTCTCCAAAATCTCATATATAGGCTCAATGTATGAAAATCATGTTCTTAATTACTATTCTTAAACGACATTCTTCTAAAATATTTATTGACATGATAAAAAGAAGAGGAATTAAAATAATACAAATTTTATAAATTCCTAACGATGAAATATTAATAAATGCTATCGTGTTTTTATCTGCTATAGCGTAAATAGATTTCTTACATTTATTTTGAAATTTTATAATTAAGGAATTCTTTCATTACTTTAATTTATAATTTTACTATTAATAATATCAAGTTTTAATGAAATGAATATATGTTTTAAACAATGATTCTTTTACTAGTAAATTTCATTCACTAATAGTGTCAATTGTCATTTATTCGAGATACGAGTTTTAATCATATGTCCCAAAAAAAAGAAAAAAAAAAAAGAAAAGAAAAGAAAAGAAAAGAAAAAAAAGAATAAAAAGAAAAGAAAGGGGAAAAAAAACTAATTATATAAGTATCGTGAAAAATTATTAATATATTATGAATTAAATTTTAAATATTAAATAACCATTAATAATTTATTATTGATAGGGTATAAAATACTTTACTTTCAATATTCATCTAATACCTTATTCTTTTCATTTTAGAACGCCCAAAATGTTAAATTGCAAATTGTCAATAATATATGTATAGACAATAAAATTCCATTAAAACCCGAGTTAAAAGAGTTGACAAATAGTTTATCTTATTTTAAAATATGTGAACTCGATCTTGCCGAACCCGGTAATACTGCAACTGCGATAAACAATTGGGTGGATCAAAAAACAAATAATTTAATCAAAGAGATTATTCAATCAGGTAAGTTTTAAGTTAAGTTTTTATTTATTTGTGTTAGTGACTATTTTTTACTAACCTGTTTATTATGAAGTAATTTATAAATTAATGTTCAGATACTAATTTAACAATTCATCGAAGATTTTTTTGACGAGAAAATTTAGAAATTTCATCTAAATTTCCTGAAAACCCTATGCAATTTAGCCTGAAATAATTATATGACTATTAATTATAAATAGGAATTCGTGTTTCAAGTTTGTGGAATAGAATTCGAATAAATCTGATATCAAACTGTTTTTAATCATACGTGAAAAAGATCATACATTAAAAATTTTCAATTCATAATCAAATTTGTCTGCAAAAAAGAAAAATAAAGGGTATAAAATAAATTTTATAATCTACAAGAAGGAATATAAATACTAAGTAATCATGTCGATACCGTAAATATTGTCTCATTTTGCTTTGAAATTTATTTAAGAGTTTAATATATGAATTTAATTTTACTTAACATAATGCTGAGTTCTATTATCGTTGTTTATTCAAATTTTTTTTTATCAGAAATATCAAAATACTTTTGTCGTACAGACAAAAAGTTTTAATTAAATATCTAATTTATAATTAAACAGTTAGCTTTTCTTTGAATTTGGTGTTTATATAATATAAAAATAGATATGTTTTTTAGCTTTTCTATTTTGATATTTAAATACATAAAATTATTTGACTAATATTCTACGACCAGGATAAGTTCGTAAAAATAAAAACGAAAGCTTTTTCTGAATTATCGATGCGCCCGTTAATATATTTTTAATTGCCGTTAAAATTTATATAATCGATGATACGTACGGCGTATCAATTGTTGTTTTTCAAAATTCAATTTGAATTAATGAGGTGATGAACATCTTATATGTTTGTTAAAGCATTTTCCGTTTCTATTTCAGACAATCTAAGCTTTGTAATTATTTTTCTATTATGAAAAATAATGATGTTAATTATTTGTTATATTTTATGCAATAGATACTTTTTTTTTTTTTTTTTTTTTTTTTTTTTTTTTTTTTAATCTCAATAAGTTTCGAAACCTTTCGTGTTAATTGAACAAAGTTCATGTTAGATAAAATGAACCTTGCCCTATGATAAGAATTAAAATATTTTTCGTTACGGCAAGAAATTAGTCATTTCATAACCATAAAATTAATATGATCAAAATATTATATATAGTTGACCTTATTATATAAAGTAATACGTAATGCTTAGTAATAATACTTTTCAACTAAGTTGACAAAATATAAAAGTTCAATTGTATATTATGAATGACACTATTAGTCCGACAATTGATATTATAAATAATATACTATTATAGACAAAACAAAATATAAATATTATGTTTTCATACAAAGCTTATATTTTATTGTTTAACGCAGTTTTATGAATTATAAATGCTTTGCTTTTATAAATTTGAGAACTTGATGCTAATCGGCGATTAATAGCCATTTCCTTACAATATTCTATATTTATAGAAAATGCTTATTATCAATAATTATACACTAATAATTTAATTAAAAATTCGTAATTTAACGATCTGAGCATGCAATGAAATTGTGAATTAATATATTTAATTAAATGAAATATGTTCAATTTAAAATTCGATCATAATTTAAGAAAGTTTAATTAAAAAGTTTTAATTTAAAAATTGAGACTTTGTTTTCAACCATTTTCAAAACTCTTAATTAAAAACAAATATTTTTATAAGCTTATTAAATGCCTTCGGAAATCGTGTATAATATCTTTTTTAATTCTATATTTATATCTTCAGTAATAGAATGACAAATATTTGATAGATTATATAAAGCAATTCGCGTTTTATATTAGATAAGACCTATTTTATTTAGGGTGTAATGCAGTTGTTTACATAAATATTAAACTTGAGTAATTATTATTCTTTTCTACTATTTCTCAACTAAAATACAGTTCCTCAAATAAGGCATCATGGTTTATTGCGTTAATTTAATGTTATTAAAATGTGCTTTACTTTTTTTTTTTTTTTTTTTTTTTTTTAAATTCTATTTATTTTTAGCTTCTCTGGTTGATATTTAATTAATCTTTAATTTTGTTTATATAACACTATAATTTTCATAATTATTTTGATTACTTTGAAATATTATTTAATAGTTAATGAACACAAACCATCATAATTTATAGTTTTTTTAAACCCATGATTATTTATGTGCTAAATAAAATGTTTATCGTTGCACAAGTACCAAGGCATTTTATCGTGCACATTTTATGTTATTTATCATTTGGAAAATATAGTAAATGACATAAGTTTTTTAACCTATCGCCTACTTTTCAAATAAAAGTAATCCATTATTAAATACAAAATATTGAAACAGAATTTACTTTTTACAGATGACATCACTAGTGACGTACACATGATCGTTCTCAATGCCGTATATTTTCAAGCATTTTTGAAAAATCAATTTAAAAATCGCTCAATTAGATACAGAGCTTTTTACTTGAGTAATAATAATAAGAAATTCATACCCACAATGAGCAATATTGACAGTTACGTTTATGGCAATCTGCCAGACCTAAAAGCCAAATTCATTGAGCTCCCATATGACGTAATTTATTCTTTTATTTATGATTTTTATGATATAACGTCAAATTGTATCAGTTACCTCGGTGTTTTATTATAATGCACTTTATTTTATAATTATTTAACAATATTTCTTAACAATATTTTCTCGGGGATAACATTTTACCAATATATTTTAAATTTTGTAATATATATATAATAAATTATTTATATGAATTATTGCATATATAGAATTAGTTTAACTAAATTTTGGGTGAAGAAAAAATTAAATGAAAATTATTTGTACTAACGACTATTGTTAATAATATTAATATATATATATATATATATATATATATACTATTATAGAATTGCAAACTGAAGATGACCATCATCATACCAAATGAAATTGAAGGTTTAAAAGACATTGTAGCAAATTTGGAGTACTTTAATCAAACTCGGCTAGCTAGTTCCGGTACACGTCAAAACGTTTACGTGATGCTACCAAAATTTAAAATTGATACCACAGTCAATGTTAAATCAGCTTTTGAAAATGTATGATTTTATATTAATTGTTGCTATATTAATTTGATAATTGAGCATTAATTTTCTTATTTTTTAATGAAAATCTAATAATTAAATAAAATATTTGTCATATGATTGCGCATATTGAAGCTTAATTTTAATAAGCTACATTTTACATCAGCATAATAAGAATTTCTCAAATTATTTATGAAATAAGCTTACATTTTGCTTTTTTAAAACACGTGGCTGAACATTAAATTAAGAATCTTTCATTTTGTTGTGAATATTAACAAGTAGAAAATTAAATTATTAAACAATTTCTGATAGTCGGTAAGAAGCTTAACTATTATAATTTATTTTATTATTAAGATCTAATATTATGACAAATTAATTATGAACAAATGTTAAATCTTATTAATATATTGCAATTATAGTTGGGCCTGACAAATATGCTGAAAGCTAAAAAAAGTATATCTACCACTACAAATGAGGCACTCTTTATGGATAAGATCATTCAAAAGATAGTAATTCACGTTAATGAAGAAGAATTTAATAATATAAATATCTCAAATGGTAAATATTTTATAATTTATTTTTAATTTTTTTCCTATTTATCTCAAATAATAATTCTTTATTATTAATTATAATTTATCATTATTTAATCTTTGTCATTTAAGTCGATTTACACGACTGATTCATATCTTAAATTTCCTTATGATTTCTTTTAAATGCAAAAGTTTTGGTACAAGAAAAAGATAATATCAAAGATCCTATTTTTAATCATATGATTATAAAGTTCGAAATTACGACTTTATAGTTACGTGAATATTAAAAAACTATTAGAATAATAATGTAAATCAATTTTAATAATATAAATTCTTAAGCTACGTACAAAAAATTTTAGATTTTGATTTTAATGGTGCCGAACTAATTTATTAAAAAAAAATGAAATTTTTCATTTTAATTATTAATAAGTCTCTATTTTCTATGGGAAGTCATCTTGATACTACCTTATTTAGCAACATAAATTATCTGAATTAATTATTTTCTTTTAGTTCAATCGGACACGTTGAAACAAATCGAAACTATTGTAGCAGTCAACAGGCCTTTCGTACTCACAATAATCGACGATGAAACGAAAATGACTCTCTTTATTGGTCTAATTTCTAATCCTGTTTACTAGTGTATATAAAATATTTAATTCTACTAAAATTATTAATATATGTATATCATAGACAATTATTTAATTGATTATATTTAAAGAAAACTGTTTTTTTTTTTTTTTTTTTTTTTTTTTTTTTTTTATAAAAAAAACTAATAATATTGAAAAATATGATCAATGCTTTTATATATAAATAATAGAAAATATTCATTCATATTTTCCATAGATATGTCAGTATATTCATTTTCGATATTTCAAAGAATGCCTTAAATATAAAAATTAATATGTAATAATAGTTTACATATTTTTTTACAAAGTAATACTTATGTAGTTAATAACTTCTGCTACATTTGTGTCTACAAACAACAAAATAACAGTAAAAATAGCATCAAACTCGAACCGTATTAAACACTATTGATGAAAATTATTGTTATTAATAAAATATTGTAAAATAATTCTATTAATAATTACTTCTTTCAATTGTCATAGACTGAAAATGCATGGTTACGTGTAAGTTAAGAAAACTTGTGACTTACATATGTTTATAAAGTAACCGAATTTTATAACTGAACTTATTTTATAAATTTAGCTTAAACATTTTTTATTTGTAATTATATATAATAATATGAAAAATGCATCTAAGATCCTATTAATAATACATTATTGTAAAAATTTTTTTTTAATATTTAAAAATATGATATGATCGAATAAAAAAAGATATTTTTTCTTCTCTATGAATTACAATAAATAGTCTGTTTGTTCTATGTTTTATAACGCTCCGACGAATAAATAAAATTTATGTGTCGAATAATTTTTAAAAATATACATAATACAATGTGCAAAGTAAATGTCGACAAGTACCTTTATATTTTCAATTTTTTGGAATAAAAACGACTCGTATTGATATATTCAATGTTTTCACATTTTCATTTTGATTTTTCATATATTTTCCTCATAAGCTCATATTCTTCGTATAACTATTTTTATTTTTAAGAATTTAACAAACTCTTTATTTTTAATTAATATCGACAAATCATTTATATGATTATATTTATTATTAATAATAATAACGTAAATATATATATAATACACTCAAGTTTCTCGTACTTATAATAAATAATTTCTAAAATTTACAACATCTTTCCATTATACGAATTTTATTTTTATAATTTTCGATATTTTTATTACATTTATTACGGCAGCATATCAATAGAGAGTTACAATTATGCAAAATTATTATTTAAGAAGCTAATTAATTCAATCAAATATTTTAATGTAGAAGTTTTATAAACGCTTAATATATTTTTATCTTTCTTGTTAATTACCAAAAACTGACATAATTGAATTATATACAATGATCTTATGTACATGTAATAAAAAATCGGAATTTGTAATTTTAAAGAAATGTATAGATATCTAATTACTAGATCTCTCAACATTTTATATTTGTATTTCCTCACATATAATCGCATATACAATGAGCTCTAATCTATTAATCTATAAAAGTGCAATATTTTCTATAAAATACTTTCTATAAGTATATTGTCCAAATATGATAATTAAACTGATTGGCAAAGGAACGCACAAACGAGAAATATCAATCAACGTTTCGATAATTTTCTTACAAACAAAAATTGATGCACACGAGGCAAGTATATTTGAATTCATTCATTAAATTTATTATTAATATTTAATTTACCTTACAATAATTATAAACGAAATTTACTGTATTATTCTCTTTTCGACGATTTAATTGATTTCCACTAGAATTAATTCCAGTTACACTTCGTATCTGAAATTTAAAAGTTAATATTCTCCAAAGTCCTGATACTTCGTCGAAACTTAAGTTGGACTTTGATTTTTACAATATTTTCACTAATTATTATATCTAATTATGACAAATATTTTAATTGATTACAATTGGAACAGGTGTTAAGAAAAGTATCGTAAAGAAACTAATACATCATAATTTTTGGAATTACGATAAAGTCATAATGGATCATTTCTAAAGGTAAGAATTAAAAAATTTGAGTTCTAATTATCAGGACACAGTCAGTGCTTAAAGAGAAATAATTTACATTAATTGCGTTTAAAATAAACAAGCATTTTATGCGCAAGAAAGAATTATTGGTAAAGCGATAAATCTCGCCAATCAATGGTCATTTGCACCACCGAACGACTCACTCGTCCAGCACAAATAATAATAATACATCCAACGTCGGTAAACCAAATGAATTGTCATTGACGATTGGTTGCACCAGACGACTGACACCCGAAAAAATGAGCCACCAAGCTTCCCACCCTGGATCGTTGGCGGTAGGTTGATTCAGCGACCGCGGCACCGGGGCAAACGCACGCCCACCCAGGCGCACGCACGCACGCACGCACGCACGCACGCACGCACGCACACTCGTGCATAGCAAGCCGAGGAAGCTCCGAGGCAGACGCTCGGACTGCTGCCAGTACTTCACGGCCCGAGCTTCCGTCTGCACGTGCCATCCGCGAGCGTCAGCTGGTCCGCGCAGTCGCAGCGACCCACGGCTATAACCTCCTTTGGTCCGGTCCGAGTCGGGCACACGAGGATACACGGCGGTTGCTCTCGAGCATCAACGGGGTCTCCTTCCTCGGCAGGCTCGATTGCTTTACGCGAAACTGGACTTGGCTCTTGGCACTTGGCCATTGTATCGGCTTATTCGTAGCGAGAGCAAGACGAGGAAGGTGGTGTACACATCTTGGCCGCTACCCCGATCGATTTCGTCTCCCCTGGAGAGCGAGAGAACGAGAGAACGAGAGAACGAGAGAACGAGAGAACGAGAGAACGGGAGAGAGAGAGAGAGAGAGAGAGAGAGAGAGAGAGAGAGAGAGAGTGACCACCGTGTGCGTGTGCGTGTGTGTGTTCGCGGGCGTTCGCGCACGTGTGTGCGTGATGTAGTTGCAAGGGAGCGATACCACTGTAATGACCGAAATTTCTATGCGGAAGAATACACGGAGCTATCCGTACTTCTTCGTTTGCGCGTCTACGAATTGTTTGTTAGGTCATTATAAAAATTAAATAGCTCGCGGGATGTTCCATTAGGTAAAAATAATTATTCCTCTACAAAAAGTGGAAGATCGTATGGATCATATTGATGTCGTCCACATCTATTTATTTTACCTTTTTACCCCAAATTATCAAATTTTTAATCGATGACACGTTTTATGGCTGAGTTTAATCGGTATCATTCACGTGTATTACAATGGCCGAACTTGCTGATCTCTTAGACCATAACAATATATATGCATATATCGCGGTATACTGATAGTCGATAAAAAGTATTGACCTTTGCCATGTTATTCTCGTGCTTTTATCATTGACATTGTTTTGTATAATCAGTTGTTTCCTGATACCCAATAGAATTACTTTCTTTTAAAATAATTTCTCACTTGAAAATTATTCCGCGTTGATCTAAATGTTTTAAATAATTAACAAGATATTTATATTAGTATTTATATCGATTGCTTTTATAAAAACATTTAGAAATTTAACACTTTTTTACATTTAATATGTATCTCTGATAAGGAAACATTTTTCGAATGTCACTCTGTCTTATAAATAATTTTAAAATTTATCAAAATAGACTATAAATTTTATGTATAAATCCTTAATATCTTTCATTCATGGTCCTCGTGAGAGCTTATAAGTTTCTCTCCATTATAATAATGTCTCTTACTGCGAGTAAAAATTAATTTTATATATATATATATATATATATATGTATATGTATCTTTAAAAATTCAATGAAAGCATTAATTAATTCTTATGAACGTGCGTATTAAATAAACACATTCATTGAATAAAATGATATCTATATTTTAAGGGTGATTGACTGAGTGATGCTATTTCAATAAAAGTAATAAATACGTAACCAACTTCATAACTTCCATAAACAGATTTGTCAGATAAATCTGCAGTTTGCTTCTCATAATATGAAAATCCATAATTTTAAGTTGTATAGAAAAATGGCATCCTGTTATAGTATACTCCAATCATTTTCAATATCTCGGTATCTTCATATGCCTTGTATGTGTTTGTATGCAGCAGCAGAAGCAGAAGCAGAAGCAGAAGCAGAAACAGAAGCAGCAGAAGCAGTAGTACGAGTATCAGTACGAGTAGCAACAACCATTGCCGGTGTAATTGCGAGGACAAGGAATAATAAGCTTTGACGAATTATGACAAACAGTCGGGTCACTCGCCCGTTACCGCATCAACAGTAAATTGCAAAATCAATCGCACGAGTTATTAAAGTGAGTTCGCCACATTTCTATTTGATTCTTAACGTTAAACAAAATTGGATAATTAGAATAGAATTATTTTGATAAACACGCTTTATGATATCGATAATTTTCTATATTTATTTATAAAATCAACCTTGATGCTTATCAAAATTCATTTTCATACATGTTCATTTATTGATAGAAATTTCAACAGGATTTTATAATTTATTTCATGATTATACGAATTTATAGCTACCATCTGAGTCTTCATTTTATAAAAATTTAGCGGTTTATTAATTCAATATTTACTTTTATATTCATGGATGTAACATACATTTATTTGAAAAAAAAAAAACAACTTGATTTATTATTTTCAAATCAAATTTTTATAATTTCATTTGAAAATATAAAAAGAACATATATAATAAATTTGCATTTCGGTTGCAATAGATAAAGAAGAAAGTTAAACATACAAAAATTTGAAATTATTCTATAAATTCACATATCATTGATACTTAATTATATATTTATAAACAACTATTTGAGAAATTTATATGAATATCTTATCAATTTTCATAAAAATAGTTTTAAATAATTCGATTAAATAACTAAATTCGGCTTTATAATTAAATTCGTTATTCTTTATAAAATGAAATTGTTCGCGTAGTAAAATCAAATTCAGTTTGTATTGAAGGATTTATTTGTTTTATGTAAATCTATAATGTTATTAGTGAATAACAATACACTTCGACATGATAAAATAAAATGTCATTTTCCCAAGATGTAAATGTAAAATATACAATATCTTTAGTT